ATTCACAAACATCACAATGAAAGGTCTCAACCGACTTATTGAGAAACAGAGAGGGGAACATAGACTTCAAAAGACTAAATGGTGGATGCCCGAGACGCTTGTGATGGAGCCAAATCATAGACTCTGCAGTAGAAGGATGACGTGTCATTAATAACTGATTTTTGCTAGCATGGTCTGGAAGGAGATGATACAACCCATCCTGTTCATTAGCAACTCCAATTGTCTTCTTCGTGGTAAGATCCTGAATAAGACAATGAGAAGGGAAAAATGTGATAGAACAATTCAAATCAGTTGTAAGTTTTTGAGTGGAGATAAGATTAGTAGAAAGCTGAGGAACATAAAGAACATTTTTAAGAAACAAGGAAGGTTGAATTTGAATGTTACCAGAACCAATAACTGATTTATGGGATCCATCAGCTACGGATATAGTATGACTACCAACAGTAGGATGATAAGAACAAAATAACTCAGTACGACAAGCCATATGATCAGTTGCACCAGAATCCAAAATCCATGAGGTTTTAAAATCAGTGCAAGAAGCAAGAAGAGATATAGAACGTGTGCTCTTACCAGATAAGATCGAAGAACTATCATGCTCAGCCATTCTTTAACAAAAAAAGTTAACAACCAGCGATAAAATCAACCAAACAGAATATCAAATGACCTCTGATCAGAAAAATAATTATAGATCCAGACAGAAGACAAGAAGACGAGAAGAATGGTGGTGGTCCGGTCCAAAAACACGGCCGCACGCGCCTCCACGCGCCGGAGAAAGGAGCTGCGCGTGGGATTCACTCGCCGGGAAAGGGGCGGCGCGTGAGAGCGCGTGGATGGGCTTCGCCGTCTGAGATTTTTATGGTGTGGTCGTCCGGTGAGCGCACACCTGTCTGTGGGTGGTCGCGGTTGAAAAGTCGCCGGAAAGTGGTCCAAACGGTGAAGACAGATCTGATTGGAGGCGATCGGAGGTGTTTCGGTCGTTTGTGGCGGAGGAACACTGCGTAGAATGATAGATCGGAGGAAAAATAAGGTCAACAATGGTCCCCTTGGTCCAAAAGGTCCCCGGAAAATTTTTCCTGTGGCGGCAAGAGGCAAAGAAATTAGGGTTTTCTTAAAAAAGAAGATAATATGTGCGGAAGCAAAGCCCTCAGATCGAGAGCTTTGATACCAACTTGAAAAATGGTATTCTAATATATTATTGAATTGTAAATAATCTGTACAAAGGGTTCTCTATTTATAGAGAATATTTGACCTACTTTTAACCTAATGGGCTTTGGCCCAATACAACAAAGGGCTTGGCCCAATACAACAATAAATGACTAAATAAAAACTAAATAATAACTAAATCAATATTATTTACAACATGCTCTCATATGTACTAACAATCTCCTTGAATCTGTCTAGTGGTAAATCTTTCATACTATCTCTCAAGGGGGATGAGATCGGTGTGTGAGCACTCTTTCACTATCATAGAGATGACATTACCTTAGCCTCTGCAACCACCAAGTGAACACTAGGAGACTGACGACTATAAGTGCATAATATATATGGGTTCCAAGAAACCCTAGCCCTAAGCTGAATGAACTATAAGTTTATCAGGTTCTTCTTATATACTAGGCTCGATTGGGCTTTATTGAAATAGCAAAACCTAACACATAGTACATTTCAATATTAACTAAACTAGGACAAATTTTGTTGGTCTTGCTAGCTTAGTTAATGAATTTATGCCACAATTGATAGCAAACAAATTTAGCTAAAAATTACAAGCCAATTGGAAGAACTATAATGGGTAAAGTGACTAAAGGAGCTTTTAAATGCCGATTTTATCCAAGAAATCCAATACATTTGGCTCTCCAATGCTACCTGGTGAAGAAGGCAAGCAAGAAATGATGCATGTGCGTAGATTATATCGACCTCGACAAAGTCTGTTCAAAGGACTCATACCTCATGCTTAATATAGACCAGCTCGTAGACAACTACTAAAGCTTTCCTTTTTTCTTTTTTATGGATCTCTACTCAGACTAGAATCAAATTCTCGTGCACCTAGCTAGGGAATGAGGAGAAGACTAACTATTGCTACACGGTGATGTCCTTCGGACTCAAGAACTGGGTTCCACGAAACATTTGCATTTAGTCAGCTTCTCAGGCCGCCTATTAAGGACAAAATCAACTAGACGACTTTAGAGAGTTGAGTTGCTTGAACAAACTCTAAAACGAGAGGCAACGATTAGCACCCCATCAAAGCTCCTTTACGAAATGAGCTCATCTAAAGAGGCTCAACTCATCTAGTGAAGTTAAGCTCACCCTGAGACTCATCTAGTGAAGTTAAGCTCACCCTAAGACTCCATATCTAATCGACCATAAGCTGACCTCCAAGGCCGCTGATAAAGACAACCACATTAGAAGAGGTTGAACATATCAAGGATCATTCAGCTCATCCAACAACTAGAACTCTAGAAGTACAATTGGCACAACATATAACTCACCGACATATACAACCCAAATCTAGATTTTGAGAACTTGGCCCCTTTACATGAATAATTTAAATATTATATAAATATGGATATTGTTTTCTTATATAATTGGAGAGAAAAATATTCTTATGCAGACACAAATGTGAAGTGAGACCCTTTTTATGCTTTTTTTTTCTCTCCTCTATTCTCTCTGCACTTTCCTCCATTTGTGTGTGTAGCTGCTGTACATGCAGCAATCAAATACTTGCTATACATATATATATATATATATATATATATATATATGGCTTTAATATTTCTAAAGTGAATATACATAAGTTATCTATATTTGCTTCTAAAACGATGTCGTTTTGTATTGAAAAATTAAAAAAATTATAATGAAAAAAGCTACTATAACCTTGAAATAAATTATAATTACAAAAATACCTTGATTTCCGTCTCAAAACGACGTCGTTTTGAACTTACTGTAGATAAGTTATCTACATTAACTGTAGAAAAAGCGAACCCTATATATATATGAGTTATATTACTCTCATGTTACACGAGATAATATAACTTCTTACACACCCATCAATTTCGTGCTTCTCTTTTTTCTTTTTTTCTTTTTTACTAATAATGAGACCCACTACATGATTGTATCTACAACATGAGATAATATATCTCCTATTACATAAGAGTAATATAACCCGATATATATATATAAACATTAAATGGAGAAAATTATAACCATACAAAAGATGAAAGCATTAAATGTGAGAAATCATAATCATACACCTGTCGTTGTTGTACGTAAAACGGTTGCAGAAATAATTTTTCCATATATATATATATATATATATATATATATATATATATATATATATATATAGTAAAAGTTTATTATGTATAATTGACCACAATGTGTTTTGCATTTGTTGTGAACTAACATATTTATTCTAAAATTTTCAAAAAAATATATTCTGATACCTAACATTTATTTACAAAGCACCTTTACGAACTTAGTTTTGGAATATAATGTTCGAATTTGATTTTGACTACCAATCCGTGTCCGAGTGTGTATTTTATGTGTATAATAATGTACACGTGACTGAAGTTGCTGTTTTTTTTTTTTTTTTTTTCCCTTCAATACATAAAATGGACGGTATCCAATACAAGAATAGTAAACCCCTCGAATTTGATTGTTTAGAGGTTTTTAACTAAGGGTAAATATTTCTTTCAATATTTCCGATGAATTCAAAACGGTATTGTTTTGGGACGGAAATTAAGATAATTTTGTAGTTCTAATATATTACAACATTAATATGGTTATATTGATAAACTTTATTTTTGCAAACTTACAAACTATATTATGTCTGACCGGTAATACTCTATTTAAGAGTTTATTATCGGTCAAACATAATATAATTTGTAAGAATTTATAAATATAACTTTTTTTTTAGAATATATTGTTGTAGTCTGAAATTTGCTTACAAACAAAATATCAAAACCGTTGGTTATATTAGTCAACACGGTTGTTTTAAATTATGAAATAACGAATTTAAGTGTGTATAATCTTGTTCACACGTGACGCGAGTAAAGGCCATAATATAATTTGGTTGCTGCACGTAAGTTTATATTAATGTTATGCTTTCATTAAACTCGTGTAGCTTAATTTAACATAAATTCAAGACTACCATGAAATGAAATCCCAGTGTGGTCTTTCTCACCCTAACAATTAAACAAAACATTAATTATATTGCACATAAAGAGAAATGCAAGAAGATCTAAAGGGAAATTGGCAGGCATATTACATATAAAAACTCATTTCCAAGAGTAAAATTTTAGGAGAAAAACAAACAAGAAAGCCACTACAACATGTATAAGATCTTGTATTCAAAAGTTTCATATTTGAAAATGTGAATTCTGAAGGCCTGAGTGATGCTGTCATGTGAAAAATTACATAATAAGAAGCAAATGCCAACCAAAGTGACGTAGGCAATTCAACTTTGTGTAATTTGGAAGCAAGTAACAATTATTGCTATTAGAGCCATTAATGTTACGTCAAAACACTTTAGTGCAATCATCAAACAGACAAGAAGATGAACATTAGTGGTTGAAAACTTGATATCAACTATTCCCCAACCTTATATCTAGCTTTATCTAGTACCATCCATAATTCACTGTTTACCCCAGTCAACCCACCTTCGCTTTTGCCTCTTCATAAAGCCACTTCATTTCAAACACTTTCCTTTTCGGGGAAAAACAATACTTTAATTTCTTGTACCAAAAAAAAAAAAACAAACAATACTTTCACTCAGAAAATAGGAAAAAACGCAAAAGAGCTATAGACGTTAAAAAAGAAAATGTCTCAAACGCAAAACGTGGGAATAATTGGTTAAGTATTTCTTGTTATTTGAGGGTAACATGAAGGGCAGTATAGTCACGAAGAGGACTATATATATATATATATATATATATATATATATAGTTATGTCAATTTTACTTTTACTTATCTCAATTTTAAAAGCTTAATCTAGTAGCATCCATAAGGTTTCTGCTGATTTTCCAAAGTCGCCAGTGATGGAACATGAGGTTGTGATGAAGCTCTTTGATTCTTGCTGGTTTGAGCTTGAGATTTTGATAAATAATAACTCAAGATCTTCTATGTCAACAAGTACTACAGAAAATCTAAATCATCCGATAAAAGAAGAACCATCAGAACCAAAGCTTACACCGATCAAAATCACTAATACAAGATCCATGAGTGACCAATCCATGACAAGTTTCGACTATAATTATCTTTCACCAGACTCTGTCCTCCTCCCTACAAAGCTCCAAACTAATCTCTCAGGAAAAGAAGTCACGGACTCAGAAGCTGAAAACCCAGCAGAGATGATACATCATGAAGTGTTGTTACCTGAGAAGAAAATCACAAGCAATGGGAGGGAGAAAAGAGAAAGGAAGAGTGTGTCAGAGCTTGAATTCGAGGAGCTAAAAGGGTTCATGGATCTGGGTTTTGTTTTTACAGAGGAAGATAAAGACTCAAGCTTGGCTTTAGTCCTTCCTGGGTTGCGAAGGTTGGGGAAGAAAAAGGAGGAAGAAGATGATTCTTGTGTTAAGTCTGTGATTGAAAGACCTTACCTATCTGAAGCATGGGAGGGTCATTACAGGAGAAAAAAAGATAACCCCTTGATGAATTGGAAAATCCCTGCTATGAACAGTGAAACTGACATGAAAGATAGTCTCAGATGGTGGGCTCACACCGTTGCTTCCTCTGTCAGATGAAGCAGCTCATAATCCAAGTTTTTTCTGCTTTTCACATTTATATTTTGCTAATATCTTTTAAATTTTTTTATACTTTTAGGATAGTGCATCTTCTTTCCTCATTCATTTTCCATTTTTCTCTGTATTTATTCCCTTTTCAATTTCAATGGTATTCGGCATTTCATAAACTTGTAAATTGTAATTGGGAAATGGTTTTCTCGTTTTACATGAGAAGATTTTCTCATGTTACACTTACAATACATGAGTAGGTCTCATCTTAACTTTTTTGTCTTCTCACTTTTTTGTGAACCCCACTCATGTATTGTAAGTGTAACATGAGAAAATTTTCTCATGAGAAAATTTTCTCGTGTAAAATGAGAAAATTAAATCCCATTGTAATTGGGAAATGGTTTGTAGGTAGGTCCAAGACAATTTCTGTTGCACCAGACACTGGTGTGGTGCAGAGAGGGACTACTCTGAATCATGAAACTTTTATCTTAAACTACATTTAGACTTAGTTGCTGTATCGCCTCCTACATTTTTATTATTTTTCAAATATCATGAAAATTTGGAAAGTTCTTTAAATTTGGCTACATATAAATGATTATTATGTTCATCTGAATTTTGAATTTCACGTCCCCTTTAGTATTGTCTCGTGGTAGACTCATGGCATGGGGACAAACTTTGTTGGCCTTGCATGCTTAGCTAATGAACTTACACTACAATTGATAAATATCAAACTCCAAAAATAAAGTTTTACAGACTTGGTTAGCAAATACATTCAGCTCTAAATATCAGAAGATTTCGATTTTTTCCTTTCCTTGGCTTCAGTATCATAGTTGTTGTGCAGCCCTTAGATTGAGCATTTTAAGGCATCCAAATACACCGCGCAAAAGCTGTTGTTCTGGCTAATTAAATAAGCTTAGACCAAAACAAAGTGCTATCTAAAACAAGGAAACGAATCCCGTTTATGTTTTATTTATAACTATACAAAGATGAATTAACGGTGATAATTTTGTAGCTACTTATTCTATTATTATTTTTATTTATCACAATTAATTTATTTTTGTATGATTATGATTCACTCACGTGATCATGGTAGTTAAAAGCCGAATTCCACCTAAAATCGAAAGGAGAATGAAAAATCGTAAATCGTAAAATCCTAACATAAAAAAAAATCGTAAAAGCGTTTGGAATTTTGATGAAATCGTTATGATTAAAAAAAATTGTAAAATCATAAAATCGCATATTTAAATCGGAATTTTAACTACCATGCACGTGATCATGTCATGTTAACTAAAACATGAAAGAATAATTTTCTCATAAAAATATTGAATGATTAACAAAACAAACGATGAAAATTTGCAAACGTTCGCTTTTGCATTTTACGGTTCTCCCCCTCCCCCTCCCTCCCTATAACAACCCTTTCTAGATTCTACTTGATCATTGTAAAGGCTGAAGTTAGTATAACAACCGTGTCTTCTTGTTAATAATTATCTAGGTCAATATCTTGTGAGTTGTGTTAAAATTCTAATCCTGGAAATATACATCACTTCATTGATATTTTCCTCTTTAACTGAGGTATTTATACAAGTATCAATAACAATACTAACTTAAAAATAGATAACAAACTCTATAAATCTAAACAAATCAATCCTAATCAATCCTATCCAAATTACAACAATATTTCAACAAACTAAATTCTATCAACAAATTAAATCCTATCTTCAACACTCCCCCTCAAGTTGGTGCATGAATATCTATCATGCCCAACTTGTTAATGGCTTCTTCAAAAGCTTTTCCAGAAACTGCTTTAGTCAATACATTTGCAAGTTGTTCTTGAGATCGTACATGAGGAATCTCAATTATATGATTTTCAAGCTTCTCTTTTATAAAATGCCTATCTATTTCAACATGCTTAGTCCTGTCATGCTGAACCGGATTGTGTGCTATCTCTATCGCAGCTTTGTTATCGCAGAAAAGATTCATTGGCTGACTATATATAATTCCCAATTCAGCTAATATATTTTTAATCCATAACAGTTCACAAACACCATAAGCTATACCTCTGAATTCAGCTTCAGCACTTGACCTAGCCACTACCTTTTGTTTCTTGCTCCTCCATGTGACTAAGTTTCCTTCTACAAAGGTGAAGTACCCAGAAGTTGATTGCCTTGTAGTCTTATCACCAGCCCAATCTGAGTCTGTATAACCTTCAATGCATGGTCTATCATTTTTTGAAAAAAGCAGCCCTTTTCCTGGAGTTCCTTTGAGATATCTAAGGATTCGGTACACGGCTTTCATATGTTCCTCACTAGGGGAATGCATAAATCTGCTTACAATGCTTACAGAATATGCAATATCAGGTCTAGTGTGTGACAAATATATTAATTTACCTACCAACCTTTGATATCTGCCTTTATCTGTGTCATTCTGATTCGGATAGACACCAAGTGAATGATTCATCTCCATTGGAGTTTCTGCTGGCTTGCTACCCAATAAACCAGTTTCCGAGAGAAGATCCAAAATATATTTTCTTTGAGACAAGAAAATTCCTTGTTTAGACCTTGAAATTTCTATTCCAAGAAAGTATTTCAGTGGACCAAGATCCTTCATCTCAAATTCAGCAGCCAACTTCTTTTCCAGAGACTTCATTTCTTCTAGATCATCCCCAGTCAACACCATATCATCTACATAAACAATAAGTATTGCCACCTTCCCTTTGTTATGTTTAATAAATAGAGTATGATCTGAGTTGCTTTGTTGATACCCAAACTTTTTCATTGCTAAAGAGAGCCTGCCAAACCATGCTCTTGGTGATTGTTTAAGACCATAGAGTGCCTTTTCCAGTTTACAAACCATATTCTGTTTTGAATGTGTTGTCTTCACTCCTGGGGGTACCTCCATGTAAACTTCCTCTTCTAAATCACCGTTCAAGAAGGCGTTCTTCACATCAAATTGTTTTAAGGGCCAGTCTCGGTTTGCTGCTATAGAAATTAGTATTCTGATGGTATTTAGCTTTGCCACGGGAGCAAATGTCTCTTGATAGTCTACTCCATATCTCTGTGTAAATCCCTTTGCTACAAGTCTTGCCTTGTACCTATCAATGCTTCCATCTGCCCTTAGTTTCACAGTATAAACCCATTTGCAACCAATTGTCTTCTTCCCTTCCGGTAGAGATGTCAGACTCCAAGTGTTATTTTTCTGAAGTGCTTCCATTTCAATGTTCATAGCTTGCTTCCATTTAGGATCTTCCAATGCTTCCTGCACACTATTAGGAACTTGTACAGTAGATAATTGATCAATTGTTAAAGCATATGATTCAGATAACCTATGGGATGACACATAATTGCTAATGGGATATTTCCCTTTCACTTTCAGATTTGGTTCATAAGTGGTCTTTGGAATGCCTTTGTTTGCCCTCTCTGATCGTCTAATATCCGAAGGTAATGGATCTGTATTCTGGACAGAAATGACTTCAATAGCAGGTGTGATTAGATGATCTGTATTTTGGGCAGAAGTGGTTTCAGTGGCAGGAGATTCAGAATGTGTTTCAGATGTTTCCAAGGATGGGGTCTCAGGTATGTGGGATATATTCGGTGTCTCATGTAAAGGAGGATCTGGAAGAGAAGTAGTATCTGTAGAGGAAGGAATAGGAATAGAAGTAGAAGACCAGAATTCTTCTTCTCGAATATTAGATATCTCCCCCTGAGAAGAAGAAGAGGAAACTCCCCCTGAATAGTAACCTTCGGATTCATTAAAAGAGACTTCAAGTGTGATATACATCTTGTGGGTTTTAGGATCAAAACAGCGGTAACCCTTTTGGGAGTCAGAGTAGCCTAGAAATATACATTTTTTAGCACAAGGATCAAGTTTGGTGCGTAAAACTTTTGGAATATGGACAAATGCAGTGCAGCCAAAAACTTTAGGTTCTAGGTTCATAACATGAGGAATTGAAAAAAAAGTTTCAAGTTTCTGTTGAGGGGTTAGAAACTTCAACGAACTAGAGGGGGTCCGATTGAGAACATAAGCTGTAGAAAGAACAGCTTCTCCCCAATAGTGAGAGGGTACATTCATGTCAAATAAAAAAGCTAGAGTGACTTCTAATAATTGCTTGTTTTTTCTCTCAGCCAAACCATTTTGCTGAGGCGTATATGCACAAGAGGTTTGATGTTTGATCCCTTTAGAGTTCAAAAAATCAAAAAATGTTTTATTTTTATATTCAAGTCCATTGTCAGATTGCAAAATTTGGATGGAAGTTTGAAATTGAGTGGCAATCATATTATGAAAATTGCGAAATACAGAAAACACCTCATTTTTGTTTTTCAGTAAAGAGATCCACATCATTCTAGTGCATTCATCAATAAAAGAAACATAATAAAAGGCATTCGAAAAAGAAGACACACGAGCTGGTCCCCATACATCAGAATGAATAACTTGAAAGGGAATTTCACTTTTATTTGAACTAGGATAAAAAGGCATACGATGGCTTTTAGCCATTTCACAAGTAGAACAATGAAATTCAGAAGGAGTACAATTCAAAAATAAATGAGGAAACAATTTATTCAGATACGTAAAAGAAGGATGTCTTAATCGCCTATGCCAAAGCCATAGTGTAGGAAATTTATTTTCAGAATTATGAACAACAGCTGCTCTATACTTTAGGTCCGATGCACTGAGGGGCTTCAAAAAAATAGAGGTTGTTCTTTCTAACACCATAGCCAAGAATCATTTTTGTTTGGAGGTCCTGAAACACACAGAACGTAGGGTAAAACAATACTTCACAATGAAGTTCTGATGTCAATTTGCTGACAGACAATAGATTAAACTCAAGGGAGGGGACAACAAGTACAGAGTGCAGGGTAATAGTAGGTGATAAAACATAAATTCCTTGACCCGTAATTGAAGCAACACTACCATTGGCAGTAGTAACAGAAGATTTATCACAAGGCAAAAAATCAGTCAAAACAGAGGCATCATGAATCATATGGTTTGATGCACCAGTATCAATTATCCAAGACAAGTTTCTAGAGTGAGTAGAGAGAGCAAGAGAATTACCTAAGACTCCTTCATAGATAGCATTTGCCTGAGGGGAGGGAGACGAGTCACCATCGGAA